TTTTTTTTTAAATTGTTATTTTTTTTTAAGATTTATTTTTAGTTATTTAGGCATACAAGAACTGGAGTGTAGACCAGAATTGTGGGGATGGAAGGTGGGTGAGAGGATTCACCAGAGACAGAGTGGGAGCAGAACAGGCGGATTGACTAAAATACACTGCTCAGGAGAGCAGTGGGCAATATAGGAGAGGTCTGCTGAGCCATGTGGGTTAGCTCCCTGGGTGGGAATTGAACTCACGCTGCAGTGGCTGGGACAGCTTGATTGAGCTGAGACTTTAACCCCTGTGCCACCAGGGAGACCCTAAAAAAAGAATTCTGACCACCTATTGGCAATCTTTTATAAAAACACAGCTCACATGTTGCATATAAAGAAAGTGGAAGGTTGATTTACTCGGCATATCTTGCTTCAGTTTCATTGATTGAATCCTTGACTGTTCTACCATTTGACATTAGGCAGGGCACACGATTTATTACCCTCGGCTGTTATGATTGCTGTTAAGTTTTGGAAATAAGCAAGTGACTCTAAATCTTCAAAAGGTCTTGTGTGTGTGGATAAGGTGTGAGAGTTATAGAAAACCATGACCCAACTTAAACACATCAACTTAAACAGTGTATCTGTCAATTTCAAGGGAATAAAAGAACGGAAAGTAAAATAAAAACTAGGGATGAATCAGGATTTACCTCTTCAATTTTTTCTTTAAGTTTAGCGAAAGTACGAAATGTGATGTAGCTGTACATGTTTTTATTAAGAACACATGTACCTCCTCAGATAGACAAGGTGTCTGGAAATACCAGCACATATTAAGAGCACCTAGCGGGGAAATGGGATTTGCCATAGAAATTACCTTACTCTGTTAACTTTGGATAATGTTCTGTTGACTATGGCTCACCTTTCTCTTCTGAGAATTCATGAGAGGGAAATGAAACTCTTACAAGGAAAGGATAAAAGAATGAAACTTATTAACATGACAGGGCTTTTCTCTTTCTTTTTTTAAACGTCTGGATGTTCTTGTTTCAAATTATTCCAGATTTCTTTTTTTTTCTTTTTGCCTTTAGGATAGTAAATTCCAATTTAAAGTCTTATTGTTTGCCTTACTGGTTTATATATTTGATATATAATGATACCAACAGACTGAATTTTGCTAAAGGAATCTTCATTCCCTGAATAGGCATTGACTATGGCACACATGCCCCACTCTGTATTAGAGTCTGTAAAGGATACAGAAATGTGTTCTCAATCTAGTGCTGTTCCTTGCCCTGGAAAAACAAACAAATGACTTGGTCCCTCCTCTCGGTATTATCTGTTACTCTAATATCTTATCTTAACACATTCTTAGTCCAACACTTAGACCAGGAAGCTTGGGATATGGCTGTTTATGAAGAAGAGATTGCTTTTGTTTTTCTCCAGTGTGTTGGAAAACAAGTTTATCCCTACATATAATATACATTTTCCTGAAGAGATCAAAACTCTGCTTGTTTGCTTTAGATTGTTGCAAATTTTCCCAAGCCTATGAGTTTTTATGTGCAATGTTAGCTGCTAAATAGACTACTCTTTCTTCTCTAATTGAATTACATATTCATGTGTAGGATATGGATTCCATGTAAACCCAATTAATGAATTAAATTAATGTTGATAGCAACTTTGGAAAAAAGTAAAATTTTCACATTAACTCTTGAATTTGTTTTTTTTTTTTTTTGGGAGGGAGTGTCAAAGGAAACAGCAGTCATCTATATAGCACAGATGTTGGCACCAGTTCAAATCTTTGCTTTGTACATCTTAGCTATTTGGTCTTGGACAAGTTACTTTTTGCCTCAATTTCTTTATTTATCAAATGTTCATAATAGTGTCTTTTCATATGTTGTTATGAGGATTAAATGACTTAAAAGTGGCAAAGTACTTCAAAAGTTACATGCCATTTAATCATCACATGTGTATTTTTTCGTCTTTATACCATCTATTTTGATTCTTGGGAAAAACAGGGGCAGCTGCTGGGGAGGTAGGGTGTCCACTTGGTTTTAATTGTTCCTTGTCAGTGACTGGTTATTTACAGAAGGCTATTTCAGTGCGGATTACAACATTTTCTTTGGTTTTGATTACAGAGAAAATATTTTAAAGTTATGAAAGGTATTCTTTCAAAATTACCTCTTGGTTAAAGCTCGATTGGTTGAATATGGATATTTAGAGGCCATTCGTTGAAAAAATTTTAAATAGCACTGTTTAGATTTTTTTTTTTCTCCTTTAAACTCATGGTTGGTTGCAGTAACACAGACAATCCTTTTTTTTTTTTTTTTTTGGACTTTAAATTATTAGACAATAAACTATAGGTAATATTTAATAACCTTTGGGGATGTTGTGAGTTAAAGGTTACTGATTTAAAATAAAATGCTCAGAAAAGAAAGTGTCTATAAACCAACTGAAATTGGGATCACCTGCAATATCAGATCTGATCTATACCTCAGTTTGTTTATAACAGCACATATTTCCTTTATAATAGATTGAATGATTGGTTTCCAACACCACTGGGGCATTTTTTTGATTGCAAAGAGGTTACCCAGCAATGATACAAAACAAACCCAGGTTTTTTTTTTTCTCCTTTTTTGGAGATATTTTCAACGAAGTCATTTGGGAGTTACAACAGGCATGGAAGTTAACATTGAAAGGTTGAATTTGACAAATGAATTATCATGTATACTGACAAACTGAGTAAATTTGGTTTGATAAATTATTTTAGATCACTGAGTATTTGAGAGATCAAATGTTAAGAGTTACTTAATTGTAAAACTTCCCTTACCAATTCCTTTTTTTATGTGTGTGATCATAAATAATTGGCTTTGAAGTGCTTTAAAAAATGACTGTTGTGTATCTATTTTGTGTTTTTTTAATGATGTGTTTAACTTTGTATTTTAGCAAAACAAAAAACAACCTCAAAATTGGACTTGTAATAAAAGTTCTCTAAGAAATAATACCAATTACATATATACTCAAAACAGGCAAAATATTGTGCTGAAAATTTTCTGTATACTCAGTTTCTAAGTTTATGCTTCTTTTCCCCATAGCAATATGAAACTCTGCAAGTTATAGGTTGTTATAACTTTTCAACAAGAAAGTATTACATACTAAGGGAGACAAATGTCCTGCATTTACAAATGTACTATGTTGGGTCACTAACAATAGACCTAATTGATAAAAGTGATTTAATATATGTTGTGTTAATAGCTAAACCTCCAAGCCTCTAATCTCCCATGGAAATATTGCTTTGTAGAACAAAATCCAATGAGAAGTTCTGGGATTCCAGAGTGAATTTGTACATTCCTTTGGGGCATTTTTGCAAGGGAGGTTGTTGTGTTTTAAAGGTAGTTGATAAGAGACCTGCTCCACCAACCCCAGACCTGCACCACCAACCACCATCATGCATTAGTCTATAGAAGGTATTTGGGTGTACGTATTCCTGTACCACTCGGTACCACCATTTAGCCAAGGGAAGTTTCTGACCATTTGCAGCATACATTATAAATCAGGATGTCACTACCAGACAATCAGATTTGAACATTCCATGAACAAAGTAGCCTATATCCCTTAGGAATAGATCACTTAACTATGTTTATGTCATGCTGTTGATATGCCTGCATTTACACAAGTCAGGATAGCACATTGTTTATTTATTTTAGGAGTAGTTAATTGATCTGTTTACTTATTTTTGGGCTAATTAGTAAAAAATTGAAATGGGTATTTTAGTATGATTGCTTTAATACATGGGGGAAATGCAATTATTCTTCCAACTCCCCAAATTACTCTTATACCACCTTTGGCTTGTGAAAGAATAATTTTGACTTTTCTCTAAGTCAGGCTGGTGTTGACTGCTATCTTTAAAAAAATTCCTACTAGTCACATAATGCTCAAGGAGTTCACGGATTGGATTTGGGAAAACTTAAGATCTCCAACTGCCAAATTAATTCTTTGGGCAAACCCTAGAAAATTGCAGGATATAATTCTTGAATGAAATGAGGTTGCTAAATTTATATTCTCTTTCTGATATCACTAGAGAGTATCCCAGCCACTTGGGGAAGTAGCAACTTTTGGTGCAAAGTTTGTGCACTCTGGTAGGCTATAGAGGTGAACTTACAGAACTTTCATCAGCTAAAAACCAAAATATTGGTCTGAATCTAAGAATGAAGAACCATGAATTGCTATATATGATATAGTAATAAAGAGGCATTTTAAAAATAAATGACAGAGAACTGACAAAAAGCATAGTCAAGCAAATGAAGTCATTCTTGATGTTTTCAAGATAACACTGTTATTCTCCTCTCTTTTTTTCCTTTCACATTTGATTCTGTTATAGGAAAAAATTTGCATTTTTTTCCTACTACATTATAGTATGAATATTCTTCATAATCATCTAGTAATGTCAATACATGGATATAAGAAATTTAACCCTTTTTTCTTACTGGGCACCTAGGAGGTTGGCAATTTCCTATATTATAAATAATGTTGTGATGAAAATCTCCATACATAAATCTTTGTCAAATTCTCTGGTTAGTGTCTTAGAAAAAAAGCACTAAATTAAGGAATAACCATTTTTTAATTTATTTTTTTATATTTTTAAAATAGATTTTTTAATATATTTTTTACATCATAGTTCATCTTTAAGCAATGTTTGCTCCTCCCCCTACCCTCAGGTGTAGTCCCCATAGATTTTCCTTCACCAGTGCACCCGTGCACCATCACCACAGACCCCTGAACCCTGAATAAGCACTTTTTTTCAGGTTGGTTATGTCAAGATATACTCTGCTCAGCTGTGTATGAAAATGACCATCTTCCTGCAGCTCTCCAATCAGAGAATACAATCATTATAAAAACATTTTCCTAATTTTATAATTTACCTTTCTTTGATGACTAATTAAAGAATTTTTCATTTTTGTCAAATTTGTAATTCTTTCGAGAAACATCTGTGTGGCATATTTTTAAAAACTGGTTTTATGTTGCTTTTGGGATTACAGAATGTGGCAGTGACAAATTTCGCTGTGGAAATGGATTTTGTATTGATGTAGCCTGGAGATGTGATGGGACCAGAGACTGTTTGGATGACACAGATGAAATCGGCTGCCGTAAGTGAGGAGGACCCAGGAAAAGGACTGTTTTGAGTAATATAAATGCTTATTGGTGATTCTACCTATAATGAAGAGAAGAGTTGTGCCTTTAGTGACAGATTTAGGACTGGGCTCAAGTCTTTTGATAACTGTGGTTGAATAGAGAAATGGTAACATTAATAATTGTTTCATTCCAATTTGAGAAAAGAGCCAGTTCACATCAGTTTCTTACTTTTATTCCATAACCTTCATATGGAAACATTTTTTGAGAGAGATTGTATGAAAGTATTAGGGATTTCAGATTATTTGCTCTGGAAATTTTGTGTATCAGAACAAACAAAAAATAGTGTTATCTGAACTACTTTTATGGAAAGGGTATAGTATATTGCTATAAAGAAGTGGTTAGTATGCTTTTAAGCTTGAAAAATTATAGTTAATATCAATATATTATTGTTAACCTCAATAAATTAATTAAAAGACACTTTATATTTCTCCATTCAGCTCTCTCAACATATTCAGAGGTAGGTTTCTGATGTGGAAACTGAAACTTAGAGAAATTAAGTCATTTATTGAAGATCTCACAGTTGGTACACAAATCTCAATCCTAGTGTCCATTGCTTTCTCATCGGTGGGATTATTACACTACTGCAATTTCATTCATTCAGATAGATGATCACCAAAAACCCAGGAAATTGACTGAAAGGTTAATTTTAATCATTGGCCATCCTCAGCCACAACAGCCATACTTTGATGCATTGTTTAGATAATGATGCATTTGAAAACAAGAGAAAAGGTGGCTCTTAGGTCCTATAATGTGCTTCTCAAATTGCACACATAAATGCAAATGCATCACCTGGGAGTTTATTAAAAGTGTAGGTTTTGATTCCATATCTTTGAAATGGGACCTGTGTTTCTGCATTTCTATAAGCTCCCCCATGAGGCTGTTATTGCTGGTCTGTGAACCACACTTTGAGGAAGAGGTGGTTCTATTTGCTCTGCATGATCACTTGCTATCTATTTGCTTGTTCTGGGCATACTGTGTTCATTTTAGGTTATATATTGGAGCAGGAAGGCAAGAACAGTATATTTTGGGATAAAAGGGTAAATGAGCAGTTATAACAACAAAATTTTAGATGTTCCATAACAATGATAATAAAAACAATACCAATGACAGTAATGATAACGTTTTCACATACATTTTTAGACTTTTTTAAATGAAAAATCATGAGATAAATGTAGTCCCTGATTATAATGTATACATTGAGACACAGATTTGCCGAAAAAAATAATTATTTGATTCTGGGTCTTTTGTAAATCTCATGGGTTTTCTAATTCATCATGATACTTTACTACTAGCTATTATAAAGCATTCCAAGTAACTTAATAACTTATGTTTCATTTTTACTTAAGTTGAAATTTTCATTTAATATATTTTTGCCATAACTTTGTGTATATGTGTATTTTGGCTACCTCATTTATGTGTTTTTGTATTGCATTATATCGTCAGTTTTATGATGTCATTGAGATTATTTGACAAGGAACTCTGATTACAGTCCATAACTCTAGTATGGGCTGTTCACTATTTAACATCAAATATATTGAACAGGAGTTGATATCCATTCTTTTGATATAACTGGGTGGATATTTGCACTGCACTGCTCGTTGGTATAACTGGGTGGATATTTGCCATCATCAGTCCTTTTTCTGGTTTGTTTTAGCTTCCTCTTGCCAGTCAAACCAATTCCAGTGTCGCAGTGAAAATGTGTGCATTCCTCATCATTGGGTGTGTGATGATGAGCTGGACTGTGAGGATGGCTCCGATGAACAGCACTGCTGTAAGTCTTTAAGGAGGAATGTTGCTTTGATGCTCTGGACCCCTAAAATGTAACCTGTTGCAGATAAAAAACACAAAATGGGATGATTCTTTTTTTTTTTTTTAAATTAACAATTTTTTTTTAAGAGGAAATTCTTTTTTTTTTTTTTTTTAAGATTTATTTATTTATACAAGCACTGGGTACAGTCAGAAGCACGGGAGGGTGAGAGAACTCACCAGAGCCAGAGCGGGGAGCAGAACAGGCAGACCGACGAAACACACTGCTGAGGGGAGCAGCGGGCGGCAGGAGAGGCCTGTCGCGCCATGTGGGACCCTCGCCTGTGGCTGGGGATCGAACCAGCGCTGCAGAGGCTGCAGGCAGCTTTGCAGCCCAGCATTCAACCGCTGCGCCACCAGAGGAGGCCTGAGATGATTCTTTATAAATGCTGAGTGGGATCTTTTGGAACGTGATTTTTTTTTTTTGGTGGGACCCTCGCTGGTGATGCTGCAGAGGCTGCGGCAGCCTTGCAGCCAAGCGCTCAACCACTGTGCCACCAGAGGAGGCCCGCTGAGTGGGATCTTAAGAAGGGAACCTATGCCAGCATCTCACAATGGCTTGGATAATATGGAAAGTATGAATGTGCTGAAGAATCATCAGTATACCCTGGCAATTGGGAAATGAGATCATTTTTCAGTCTTTAATTCACATCATGTTATACAAGGAAGGAACAAAACATTTTTGGTATTACTTGGTGAGGTATTTTTCTGTGTGATTGGTGGTTGGATGAGTCCTTTGGTTCTGTAGCATACTCTGTCTTCAAATTTCTCACCTCTTCTGCCGATGAATTAAACTCTCTTCTTTTCCATTGAGTGGAAGTGGTTAAGTAGTAGGTAGGTCTGGAGTAGATGCTGGAAATCCTTTGAGAACTCTCCATCACCTCAAGGGAAAAGTTCTAACTCCTTCACATGGTCTGCGGAGGTTTATAAGATGTGCTAATTCCTCCATACCTATCATTTACCAATCCTTGAAATGGCCATTTGAGGTTACAGCCGTGTTTGTAGTTCCCTTGTATATATCAGCCACACCATCACAGCCTCATGCCCAAGTGTGTGCTGCCTGAATGCTCATTGCTGGACTGTCCTTACCTTCTGGCGTAGCTAACTTTTGCTTCTTTATCAAGACCCAGATGAGTTGTTACCTCCTCAAGGAAGCTGTTCCTGTCCATGCCCCCATCCCAAGGTGAATTAGGTTCCCCTCTTGGAAAAAAAGAATTATGGTTAATATTTTTTACATCTTACTTCCAAGTACCAACTCTAAAGTGGTAATTGTCCAGTTGTCTTTTAGAAAGGATTCTTTTGTCAAGTTTTGAAATCACATCCCTTAACAGATATTAATTGTATCAGAAAACCAAATTTTTACTGAACCTATGCACATTTATGTAGAAGTATAGGAAACGCTATAAAAATTCAAGGGAAAACATTTTCTTCCACATGGTGATTATATTGGCTTTAGTGGATCACATTTTCCCCAAGTGCTTCTCTTTTTATGTGAAAAATTTAAAAACCTCATGATAATTGCTGCCTATAGAATAGCTTCCACATGATACTTGCAGAGTCAATTCATTTCAATTTTATTCATTTTATTCAGGGGCAAATTAGATAAACTACTGAAGTCCTGCTTCATCTACATGAGTCAATATCAGATAACATTAAACTAGCTTAAAGTTTCTCCTCTGTTTATAAAATTACACATGTTGAATGTAGAAAGTTTGCACACAGAAGAAAACACCATTTTATTCTTTTTAGTTTTATTGTTTTTATATAACTATACCATCATAGGGTACATTTTTCACACCTCTATATGTGCGCATGCTTTGCTCACCCATCACCAAAACTCTTATGCAAATATCCTATCCCCTTCCTTTCTCCGTCCCCTCCTCCTTCACCACTGTTCCCTCTGGTAACCAGTGTATCTTTCATTAAGTCTGAGATTTGTTTTTGCTAGTATATGTTTTTTCTTTTTGTTATTTATATTCCACAAATAAGTGATATTTGATAACTGTCTTTCACTTTCTGACTTATTTCCTTTAGGACAATCACCTCTAGGATAAGTCATTTTGTTCCAAAAGACAGTGTTTCATCTTTTTAAATAGCTGAGTAGTATTCCATTGGGTATATACACCACAATTTATTTATCCAGTCATCTGTTGTTGGGCACTGAGATTGGTTCCATTATTTGGCTATTGTGGATAATGCGAAAAATGTATTTTTTTATTGATGTAACATTGGTTTGCAACATTATATGATTTAGAGGTATAACTTTGCACCTCTTCAGATATGTGTTACCATACCATGTCACCATCAAATATGAAATCACCTATATTCCTACCACTCCAAAATAACCATTGTTAATCCTTTGGCATATTTCTTTCTGTTAAATAGGGATTTCAATGAGAGCAACCTTACCAATTCTTGGTTAAAATCTATTTCTGCAAAACTTTTATTCCATTTATCTTCTTTACATATAGTTTTTCAATCTTGTATTCTTAGCACATATCGATACAGTTATTTACACTAACATGCTTGAGTGTTGCTATGATTCTGTGGGCATTCTGTTAGTGTCCTAATGATAACATCTTTGCTCTTGTTTGGGGTAGCTGGGTACTTTATCTTGTATATGACCTTAAGAATTTCATGTTCAAGGTACACTCAATTTGCCTTTCTTCCAAATATCCTCATTCATATTTGGAAAATGTCAGTGGATTGATTTGTGTTTGGCAGTAACTAAAAAGGGATACTTTTTCCGCTTCACAGTGGGGAGAACATGCTCAAGCCATCAGATGACATGCTCCAATGGTGAATGTATCCCACGTGAATACAGGTGTGACCATGCCAGAGACTGCTCAGATGGAACTGACGAGAAGGACTGCCGTGAGTCTCTTTCAGTCCTTGCACTGTGTGGCCTTCACTTTTGTCCTTTTGGCATTTTAATCAATTTGTTAGATTTGTTGATGGACAGAAATGCCTACAATATGCCTCTTGTTATTGCAATCTCTTAGCAGATTCTTTTGTGGATTAGAGGTAATGTTCTGATAGGAGTCTAATTTTAGCAAGGTGTTCCAAGTGTACCCTGCCTTGGCACATCAAATTTCTGTATTTTTTGAAGTAAAGAACTTTTAACATTAACATAGAATCCTGAAAGGTCATTTAATAAACTGAGTACAAAATCCAGTTTGGTCAGTTTTAACTTTTTTTTACATTATTATGGTAAGATTCTAGGTCAAATGTCTCATTAGTTTTCTTGCTCTTATGAGATCAACATTTTCCGGATTACCTTTGGAAAAGCGTATTTTGTGAGTGACTTTTCCTATAATGGCAGCATTCGGTATCAGCTTATCACTAACCACCATAAGATAAGGCATTAAATGTTGCCACGACCCAAATAACAGTGCGATTATAATGTACTTTCTATACTTTTTACAAATAAATAGAGGTATATAGAGAATTTTTAGAATAAAAAATATAGGAATTTTTCTCCTATGGCACTGTTAGGGTGCATTTAATTTCATTCTCAGTTTCAAACATATCCAGTCTCATAAACATCCTTAGAAACTATTGTTTATGAATTTATCCATTAATTTCTTAAGTTTTTAAACATTTTTTTCTGACATTCCTTTTGATTTATTGCATTTTAACTTTACTAAGTGTTGTGTAATAATATTTCCTTTCATTTGCTCTTAAATTTATGTTTCAAACTTCAAGGAGTTATTTTAATATAACTTTATTCTAATAATCAGGAGACAGATTTTGTGTAGCTTAGAAACCTTGATCATAGATTTCTTGATAATTTTGTTTCTAATTAAAGATTTAAATTTTAGTCTATTCTCATGGGATACCTTCTCTGAGGTTTGATTATTTTGACTTAATCTTTCTCTGGATAGTCCCTAAATTTCTCCCTTTGGTCAAAATGGTATATTTAATGTTTCTTGGTGAAAGAATCATATTTTACTATACTTTGAATGTGGTACCATGTCTAGGGAGGGAGCTAACATAAATGGGTTATGAGCAAATTGTTTCTGTTCACTGTAATGGTGTCGGTGAAAAGGAAAGACCTGGGCTCAAACTGGTCCAGATTCATGCTGCATCCACATCATTGTCATTACTTGGAACATTTTTAAAAATAACACTTCACTGCTTTCTTTTTTTGTGTGTAATTTTTCTTTGAGTTGAATCTGTGCTACTTGTCTTTGGAATTCTATTTTTTTTTTAAGATTTATTTATTTATTTATACAAGCACTGGGTACAGTCAGAAACGCGGGAGGGTGAGAGAATTCACCAGGGCCAGAGTGGGGAACAGAACAGGCAGACTGACAAAGTACACTGCTGAGGGGAGCAGAGGGAGCGACAGGAGAGGGCTGCCGCACCATGTGGGACCCTCACCTGTGGCCAGGGGTCCAGCCAGCACTGCAGAGGCTGTGGGCAGCTTCACAGCCCAGTGCTCAACCGCTGCACCACCAGGTGAGACCCTGGAATTCTAATTTTTTAAAAGATTTATTTATTTATGCATACAAGAGCTGGGGTATAGGCCAGAGATGCAGGGGGTGAGAGGACTCACCAGAGACAGAGTGGGGAACAGAACAGGCAGGCTGACTGAAATACACTGCTGAGGGGAGCAGTGGGCAAGACAGGAGAGGTCTGCTGCACCATTTGGGTTGCTTCCTGGCCGGCTGGGGATTGAACTCATATTGCAGAGGCTGTGGATTGCTTCACAGTGTGGTGTTTAACCCCTTGCGCCACCAGGAAGGCCCTGTAATTCTATTTTTTTAAAGATTTATTTATTTATTTATTTATTTATTTATTTATTTATTTATTTATTTATTTATTTATTTATTTATACAAGAATCGGGGCACAGGCCAGATGTGCAGGAGGGTGAGAGGATTCACCAGAGACAGAGCGGGCAACAGAATAGGCAGACTGATGAAATATACTGCTGAGGGGAGAGGCGGGTGCGACAGGAGAGGTCTGACGCGCCATGTGGGACCCTCGCCGTCTGGCCGGGATTGAACCCGCGCTGCAGAGGCTGCAGATAGCTTCACAGCGCTGCGCTCAACCGCCTGTGCCATCAGGGGAGGCCCTGTAATTCTTTTTTTTTTTTTTTTTTTTTTTTGAAGATCTATTTATTTATTTATTTATACAAGCACTGGGTACAGTCAGAAGCACAGGAGGGTGAGAGAATTCACCAGAGCCAGAGCAGAGAACAGAACAGGCAGACTGATGAAATACACTGCTGAGGGGAGCAGCGGGAGGCAGGAGAGGTCTACGAGCCATGTGGGACCCTCGCCTGGCAGCCGGGGATCGAACCGGCGCTGTGGAGGCTGCGGGCAGCTTCGCAGCCCAGCGCTCAACCGCTGCGCCACCGGGGAGGCACTGTAATTCTATTTTTTAAAAACATTCATTGTACGGTTTTGTTGTGTTATTGTTTCCAGTTCAAGTGTTTTCTTTTGAAAGAGGTTAAGCAACCTCTAATTTGGATACCTTTTATTTTGGGAAACTTGCATAGAATGTAGACTCTACATTGGTGATTTTAGAGATGGCAGTGTGTGTCTGAGGTTGTCACCAAATAGCAAGTCCATAAGTCAAGGGCTCTTCCTTTATTATCTGAAGGACTCTTTTAGTACTTTGTCAAGCAAACAACAGGTCCTTCATGGAATTCTGTGATGAAAATATTTTTGATTAAGAATGACAAAACATATGTTTTGCAAACTTCAAAGCATTATAAGAATTCCAGTTGTTATTATTCAATTCCTCAAAGAGGACAGTAGGGTAGATATTAATATATTTTCTTATGAATAAAGAAGCTAAAACTGCAAAGGGTCTTGTTCAACTTTGCACAATAGGTAGCAAAGACAGCGTTCAACCCAACTTCTGGTTCCAAGTCTGGGTGATTATTCTTCATGACAGATTTTATTTACAGGAGAAAATCCTACCTTTTACAAGAGAGAACCAGAGGTCTGTACCACCAGCCAACAGTCTGTGTCTTTATTTCTTATTTACAAATGGATAAAAATGAGTGCTTTATTGCAAATGCAATGGCACTGAAGAAATTGCTACTTTAAAGGAAATAAAAGGCAGCCGAAACAGATTGTTTGAATTTATTCCATGTGAACACTCTGCAGCCAAGTCTAAAGTCACCAATACTACTGCCTCACAATGTTGCCAGTGGACCTTCCGGAAAAACGCTGGCAGGGTACAAGCATGGAAGCAGCTGTTATAAAAAGGAATGAAGGAAAGGAAGTGGGCTTTATAAAATATCTAGGCAGGAATTTTTAATCAAGTTTTTTTTTAAAAGCACAAGTAATTGGTGAAACAAGGATTTGCTAAGAAAAGAACCAGATTTATAGCTTATTTCTGCAGTCATACAAATAAGGAACCCTTCAGGGTTCATGACCCTAAAATGAACCTCGCACATGTAAAGGTTTTTACAGGAGATATTCTTTCCTATTTCTCTCTGTCTTGTGTACTTATGGAGGAGCATTAAACAAAATCTAACACATCAGAGCAAATTGGAATCTACACACTTTCTTGTTAGTGCTTTGATCCCCAGAGTCATACAAGAAGGAAATGAATGAACTGGATCAAAGTCTCTAGAAAGTGCCATTCTGGGACTGTGAGGGGGACAGGATTGGTCTTATTTTGTTTTCCCTCTTTGTTTGGAGCTTGTACAAAGTGGGAAAGTGGGAACAGCCAATACTTTCTTATGTAGTTTCACATCGATACCTATGTGGGTGTGGTGACCATCTCTGCTTTATGGAGATGATGAAGACTGTCAGAAGCAAGGTGTCCAGTAGGGGAGGAGGAGGGAGAGGGGTCAAAACAGGGGAGGAAAGAGCACAAGGGACTATGGTGATGGTTCATGGGTGCTGTTGTGGTGGGAGAATTATGAGGACTACACCTGAGGGAAGAAAACAAACATTATACCAAAATTAACTAGTTTAAGAAAATTAAAAAAAAAAAAGAAGCAGCAAGGGTGGAGGAGCCTGGATTTTAACCTATGCTCTCAGAGTACTATTCCTTAGTAATGGAAATTTACCAAGTATTTTTGCCTAAAAATAACAGTTATTTGTTATTTAAAAAATTTTGTTATTTAACATTTTTTACTAGGAAAGGTTTTAAACAGGTACAGAAGTAGAACTTAAAATGATCTGTGTGTACTCAGCACTCAGTCATCAGTTATCAAATTATAGCTAATTTTATTTTACCTTTATTTGTTCTATTATTTTGCAGCAGTTCTTAGCTATATGACGCCTATGTAATATTTCAATATTTATCTCTGAAACATAAGGACTGAAAACATAGCTATAATATCATGCTCACCTTAAAAATAGTCAAATATGCAGGCAGTTTTAAAAATTTCCCAATTGTCTTACTATTTTTGCAGTGTGATTACATCAAAATTTACACAACTATGTTAGTCTTCCTTGCTATGTCTTTGAGTTTGTAGGTTTACCTTCCATTTTTGTGGGTTTTTTTTTTTACCTCTTGCAATTTATTTGTTGAAGTAAACCAAGCCCCTGGACTTTCTCAGTTTGGGTTTTGCTCATTGCTTCCTCTGATGTTCTTTAACATTTTCTTCTGTCCCTGTTATTTCCTGGAACTTGATAGCTAGATCTGGAACAATGTGTCTCAAGTTTGGAAATAATGACATTTGGGGCCAGGTAATTCTTTATTTTGGGGTCCTGTCTTGTACATTGTACAGTGTCTAACATTATTTCTACCATCTCTCTGGAAACCAGTAACATCTCCCACTTGTAACAACCAAAAAACGTCTTCAGATAATGTCCTCTAAGAAAAAGATTTCTCTCCTAGTCTGCTTGAAAATCCCTTGTCTAGAGGTTTGGGTAGATGCAAGAAGTGTGTGAGTGTGTGTGTG